GGTGAAAATGGACAGGGCGCCCTGGCGCATGCGTTTGTTAATAGCCTCTTATCTGCTATTAGCAGTATGTTAAAGCAAATAAGTGTTGGATGGGAGGCCAAGACCATGGACAAATTGCAAGCAGTGGCAGAGCATTGCCACTGCACTCTAAAAGGAAAGAGAAGCAGTCCTCACAAAAGTTGATAGCTCTGCAAATACAGCATTATTCAGGGCAGGGCAGACAGTACTGGGAACGGGGAGGGTACCAAGAATGGGGATAAGGTCGGAGAAGGGGTTGTGGCACCGGGTTTTTGGGATTTAGAGGTTTCAGCTCCGGTCATATCCACCCTGTGGGAACAAGGCATTATTGTCCCCTGTTCCAGCCCCTGTAACACCCCTATCCTCCTCCCAGTTCGAAAAGCTGATGGTAAATCATGGCGGTTTGTTCAGGATCTTCAAGCTATTAACTGCATTGTTGTACCCACCTTTCCTGTAATCCCTAACCCAGCAACCAATCTGGCTTCTATCCTGCCAGATGCAACTCATTTTACTGATGTTGATCTGTGTTCTGCTTTCTTTTCTGTCCCGGTTCACCCTAAGTTCCAGTATCTTTTTGCCTTTTCTTACAAGGAGCAGCAGTATGCTTCCCAAGGGGTACACAGAAAGCCCGTCTTACTTTTCCCAAGCATTAGCCAAAGACCTTGTTGACCTGGTCTTCCCCTCTGGGTCCACATTGGTCCAATGTGTAAATGATCTACTCCTCTGTTCCCCTTCATTATCTGCCTCAGAAACTGACTCTTTAGTGCTTCTCACTGCCCCCCAAGCCTTTACCCTTTTCTGCCACGAGCAATCTGGTTGTGCACTTGGGGTTCTTACTCAGGAGCATGGTGGCAAAAATCGTCCAGTAGCTTATTTCTCTGCCACCTTGGATCCTGTTGCCCAAGGTCTACCCCCCTGTCTGCGTGCTGTGGCTGCCGCGGCACGCCTAATTGAAATGTCTGATTCCCTTGTCCTCCGCTCTCCTCTTTCTCTCATGGTCCCTCACTCTGTAGAAACTCTCCTGCTACAACGTAATACAGCTCACCTTTCCTCTGCCAACCTAACTAGGTACGAACTTTTACTGCTTTTGGCTTCGCATATCATCATAAAGCACTGTTCTCAATTGAACACTGTCACTTTCCTTCCTCTGTCTGATGACGGTAAACCCCACGACTGCCTAGCAACTGTCTCTGCTGTCACTGTCCCGCGCCCCAACCTTTCTGATGTCCCTCTCTCTAACTCCGACTCTGTGTTATTCACTGACGGTTCCTGCTTTCGAGACAGCCAAGGTCGTCTCCTCGCAGGATACGCTGTGGTATCACTCTCTGAAACCCTAGAAGCTGCGCCTTTACCTTCTGTGACCTCAGCACAAGTCGCTGAACTAGTTGCCCTAACCCGCGCTTGCTTTCTGACTGAGGGACGCTCCGCCACCATTTATACTGATTCTCGATATGCTTTTGGGGTTGTACATGACTTTGGCACCCTCTGGCAAGCTCGGGGTTTCCTTACCTCTGCTGGTACCCCTATCAAGAATGGCCCCTACATTGCTGCTCTCCTGTATGCACTCCCATCTGCATTAGCTATTGTTAAGTGCCCTGGTCACTCCACAGCAGATACTGATGTTGCTAAGGGTAATGCTGCCATAGAACCTTCCCCAGGTGCGTTTCTCGGTTCCCTTTCTGTTTCTGTACCACCGCAGTCCCTTTCTAAAGTCACCCTGCTCCAAGACTCTGCCTCAGAAACAGAAAAAGACTCCTGGGTCGCCCGGGGTTGCTCTCTACACCCTGATTCCCTTTGGCGCCCCCTTATTGGTGCCTTTGTGGCCCCCTTTTCGCTCTACCCAGCTCTGGCCGCCCTGCTACACGGCGTTTCGCATGTCGGAAAGGAGGGTATGATCTCTGCTGTAACTAAGGCAGAATGGTGGGCCCCCCATTTCAGCTCTTTTGCAGCTCACCACTGTGCCGCCTGTACCACTTGCCAAAGCTACAATGTTGGCAAACCTGTAAAGGTAGCTCAAGGGTTCTGGGGCCTGCCCCAAGCACTGTTCTTGCATTGGCAGCTTGATTTTGTACAAATGCCTGTGTGTCAACTATATGAATTTATTTGGGTTATGGTATGCTTATTTTCGGGTTGGATTGAAGTCTTTCCTTGTCGCAAAGCTGATTCGCTGTCTGTTGCCAAATGTTTGTTAAATCATATTATGCCTGCCAAAGAAACTCCTGCCACTCTGTCCAGTGACCGGGGTACACGTTTTACTGAACAACGTGTTCAGCACCTGGATCGTGTGTTACATGTCACACACCTGCTGCACTGTCCCTACCATCCCAAAGACATAAATTAAGTCCTTTTGAAATTGTTTATGTGAACAATGGCTACCATTACTCCAGTCTCAGACTTGAACTTGACTCACAGTACACTTTATTTTCGGGTTGGATTGAAGCCTTTCCTTGTCACAAAGCTGATTCACTGTCTGTTACCAAATGTTTGTTAAATCATATTATGCCTGCCAAAGGAATTCCTGCCACTCTGTCTATTCAACTTGTTCAGCACCTGGATCGTGTATTACATGTCACACATCTGCTGCACTGTCCTTACCACCCACAGAGCGCAGGTGCAGTTGAAAAACGAAATGGTGTGCTAAAAAAATAAGCTTGCAAAAATTTGTGACTCTACAGGGTTAAGCTGGCCAGTGGCCTTACCGTTGGCCGTTATGGAAATTCGATCCACCCCATCCCGAAGACATAAATTAAGTCCTTTTGAAATTGTTATGGGGCGCCCTATGCGAACAATGGCTACCATTACTCCAGTCTCAGACTTGAACTTGACTCACAGTACACTCCTTCAGTATTTCAAGGGACTAATGCAAGCTGTAAGTCACTTCCATTCACAGGTTCAAGCCACCTGGCCGACCGAACCCACCTCTGACGCCTGCCACGCCCTCGAGACAGATGATTGGGTCTACGTACGACACCACCATTGAAAACATGCCTTGGAGTCCTGATGGAAGGGCCCGCATCAGGTGCTGCTCACTACCCAGACAGCTGTTAAGCTATCCGGCACTGCAGTGTGGATACATGCTTCACAGTGTGGATACATGCTTCACCACCCCCACCACCCCCAGCCTCAGAACCACACAGGGTCAATTTTGATTCCAGAAGAAGACGTAGAGGAACAGCCTGCAATACCTTACAACCTATGTTCGCGTAAAGGTTGCCAGAAGCAGATGAGGACCAAAAGCAAGGCCCAAGAAGAAGCAGCAGTGAGCCTAGCGCCTGCTGCCTGGTGGACATAAAACCGTAACTGCGGTTCCCTCAGTTGAGGTTGTCAGAACCAAAAGGGTCTTGCCTTCAATATGTGCCTTTTGTGGTGCCTGTTCCTCGGCCACTGGTGTCCTAAGGTCTGGGGAATCTACAATGACAATTATTGTATCCCCCAGCAAGTATGGATCGTTCAGACCCTTAATATGTCTAATTGCTGGGTCTGCAGCCGCATCCCAGCCCACTCTCAGCTGGTGTTCCTGTTTTGACAATCCCACTTAATTCTCCAGGCCTCACCAGAGGACCTCATCCGTTTAACAAGACATGGAACAGTAATGACACTTGGGAAGCAGTGGGAATAATTGTGGGAATAAATGTATCTAAACGGATAAGTGTGGAGGAGAAAAAAGGTCACTGGTGTTTGCAGCATATTGTAACCAATGGTGTATGGGATTATTCAAACAAGATTGAAAAATGGAGGACCGGGTATGGGGATATGAATTTTTTCTCAACCTGGGATCAAACAGGGAAATCACTCTCATGCTCCTCCTACAGCCACCGTAGTGAGAACAGTACAATCTTTCAATGCCATGCAAATTATACCATTCCCCATAAGGAGAATTACCATGTGCCCTTCGGGGGATATTACTGCTCCTTTGTAGACACCTAAATGGCAAATGGGTGCAACTGACCCTTCCCGGCTTTGATAGGGCATCATTGGGTCTGTGGGACAAAAGCTTATACCACGTTAGCAGTTTAACTGGTCAGATATCTGTTATCCCACCCAACTCTTCCCACAATTCCGAGTGTTAGAGTCCTTCCCACGAGAATGCTTCCGTAATTTTAGGTGAAAAAGTAGGGACTTGTCAAATGCCCAATGGTATGTGAATTACATAAGTCCCTTACCTTGGGAAGAGGCTATTGGTAGTTCCTTTATCCCATCTGGGGGAGTAATATATCATGCAAAAAGGCTCCTGAGGTTACAAGCAGTAGTGAAATCATGGCAAATGAAACCAGAGAAAGTTTAAGGGCCCTGGCCAAAGAAACAGGAGCGATCCAACAGCTGGCCCTCCAAAACCATCAGGCATTGGATATAGTGCAGGCAGCAAAAGGAGGGACCTGTGCTCTCATTGGAAAATAATGTTGTATATATTTACCTGACAACACCAATGATGTAATAGATCGCGCTAGCCACTTGGAACAGATTGCATACCTTCCCCACGAAGAGCCAAGTTCCCTGTGGAAATGGCTAAGTAACTTGTTCAATTTCTCTGGCATAGGAAACTGGTTGTTTCAGGGAGCCCTGACTATCCTATTTGGGATCTTAATGATTTTTGTATGTTTTCAGTTAATCTCCTGTTGTATCCAAAATTGTGCAAGATGTCACACAGCTAGCTATCCATAACCAGAGTGCTAATCTGATGATTTTAAATATCACTGATGAACAGACACACAAAAAACAGTTAATGTGTGGAACCCAGTAATTGTTGGTCATAGGTGTGGCATGACCAAAAGGAGGGATTGTGAAAGTAGAAAGAATTATATT